AGACCAGGTGCTGGAGGAAGGCGTGTTGAATGAATGCATGAACTAATGGACTTAGTGACAATTTGATCTCTGATTGTTATATGTCCATTAGTCCTCTTTCCCAATGTAACATACAGAATCATGTTTTCCATAAATACTAGAATTTAGAGAAAACTTATTCAAGAAGGTGTGTGTGTATGAGAGAGAGAGAAAGAGAGAGAGAGAGAGAGAGAGAGAGAGAGATCAAGAGAGAGAGAGAGAGAGAGAGAGAGAGAGAGAGAGCACTTGAGAGAGTTTGAGGAAGAGTTTAGCTGTGTTTGAAAAAGGGAGGGGATTAGGAAGTGGGTGGGAAGCGGGGAGGGCTGAGGACTTGGGCAAGGAACTGCTGGCTTTTGGAGATTGAGTCTGTAAGCTCTGTGAGGGCAGAGACCATGTTTGTGTTGTTCACAGCTGTGTCTCCAGCGTCTAGCACAGAACTGGCCACATAGAAGGTGCTCAGTAAGTATTTGTTGGGTGAATGAATGAGTCAGATGTCGCTGAAGTAGCGTAGGCACCTTGCTGCGCCCCTATCTTAAGAATCACAGTAGATTTTGAGTAGGCCTTGACCAGGGAGGGGAGTTCCTTTGGGGAGCAGAGAATAGGACACATTGCTGAAGAGCAGGGCAAGCAAATCCGGGACTCACGACCTCTCTGTTCCAAGCTCTCAGCGGACCTGAATAACTGATGCAGGCACGGCTTCCATGACAGTAGGACCTGCATCTGTCATACAGTGTATGCTCAGTAAATGTTTGTTGAGAGGAGCTTGGGTCCAGTTATTCCAGTTAACTCCAGCTTAGAGAAGGGTTTGAAACCGAGCCAATGCTTCCATTTCTAAGCCTTTGAATTTTCCTGGTGGTGTGTGGTTTTAGGCCCTCATTCATTCATTCAACAAACATTTATTGAGTACACATTGTATGACGGATACCGATTCTGCTGTCATGGAGCTGACCAGTCTAATGGATGAGGTAACTGTTCAATAATCACCGGTAAATATTTCATGACACAATGTGATGAATGCTATAAAGCAGAACAGTGCTATGAGAGAGTTCAACCAGGGGACTGAAAATTTACAAAAGCGTGGCCAGGAAGTCTCTCTGAGGAAATCTGCAGTTTATTTTTAGTGTGGAGAGGAACATCATGATTGTCAGTTGTTCCAAAGGGCGTGGAGTATTTTTGCAGCCTGGACCAGGGGACAGCTGGATGCAGTTGGCGCCTCAGTTAGCTGCAGTGTCACCTCTGTGACCCGGCCAGACTCTGAGCTGCAGGAACCAGCTCCCTCTGACATTACCACCCAGGCAGGAAATGACTAACTTCTCCTTTGACAGAGGAGGGAAGAGGAAGGAGAGAAGGGGTACAGAAGGACACCTCAGGTGGGAAAGGAGCTGGTTAGATATTAGGGACTTCCGAGCAAGTCTGGACCTTTGGACAGACCAGGGCAAGGACCCTAGAATAGCCAACAGAGCCAGTGATCGTGGTTGCTGCAGACTTATTTGTTTTGAACAATTAGGAGTCAGAGTTGCACTGTCTAATACAACAGCCACTAGCCCCAGGTGGTAATGTAAATGAAAATGAAAATTCATTAAAGGTAAATAAACTTTAAAATACAGTTCCCAAGTTACACAACCCACATTTAAAGAGCTCAATAGCCACATGTATTGGATGGTGCAGATGCAGACATTTCCATCACCACAGAGAGTTCTATTGGCCAGTGCTGCTCTAAGGAACAGGCTTTGGAATTGGGCAAACTCTAATGGGCATCACACCTGGCTGTTTGACCTTGGGCAAGTCACTTGCCCTTTCTGAGTCTCACCTTAATCCTCTGTACATGAGCACAATGACATCTAGCTGACATAAGAGGTGGGGGCCCGTGAGAGAAGGGGAAGGGGGCTCCGGACTCAGGGAGGGAGCATTAGGGGAGTGGGGTTATTGGAAAAAAGAAATTTCAGAGCTTCTGCTACCGCCGCCCGTCCTCATTGCCCGAGCCAGGACACCATGCCACAAGAAGAGAGACCTCGTCCCCCGTTTTCACAATGGAGGACTTGGGCAAGACCTTCAGCTCTGAGGAGGAAGAAGCTGACTATTGGAAAGACCTGGCTATGACCTACAAGCAAAGGGCAGAGAATACACAAGAGGAGCTCCGAGAATTCCAGGACGGAAGCCGAGAATATGAAGCTGAATTGCAGACACAGCTGCAGCAGATTGAAACCAGGACCAGGGACCTCCTGTCAGAAAATAACTGCCTTCACGTGGAGCTAGACACCATCAAGGAAAAGTTTTGAGACGCAGCATTCGGAAGGCTACCAGCAGATCTCTGCCTTGGAGGATGACCTTGCCCAGACAAAGGTAATTAAAGATCAGCTGCAGAAATACATCCAAGAGCTGGAGCAAGCAAATGATGACTTGGAAAGAGCAAAATGGGCCACAATCATGTTTCTGGAAGACTTTGAGCAGCGCTTAAATCAAGCCATTGAGAGAAATGCCTTCGTGGAGAGTGAGCTGGACGAGAAGGAAAATCTCCTAGAATCTGTACAGCGTCTGAAGGATGAAGCCAGAGATTTGCGGCAGGAATTGGCTGTGCAGCAAAAGCAGGAGAAACCCAGGACCCCCATGGTGGAAACTGAAAGGAGAGACACAGCTGTGCAGGCCACTGGCTCCGTTCCATCCACTCCCGTGGCTCATTGGGGCCCAAGCTCGAGCTTCACCACACGGGGGATGTTCAGACGTGGTCTGGATGACTCGGTGGGTGGGACCCCCCTCATGCCTGCAGCCCGGATATCGGCCTCAACATCGTGGGAAACCTGCTGCGGAAAGTGGGGGCATTGGAGTCCAAGCTTGCATCCTGCCGGAACTTCGGGTAGGAGCAGTCGCCAAATCGAACAAAGGGCCCGACCTCAGGGTGGGGGACCAAGAACAGAGATGGCGGCGACAGACAGCCAAGCAGCACCAGCGTGCCTCTGGGTGATAAAGGGTCAGGAAAACGCCTGGAATTTGGGAAGCCGCCTTCAAATCTGTCCTCACCATGGCTGCCGTCAGCCCAGGGTGTAGCCAAGACGTTGCTTTAGGAAACCCACAGAAGCGAAGCCGCTGACGTCTGTGCGGGAGTTCTTTACCTTTCCCCCCCTCTATACACGAGCTTTTTTGTTTTAAGTTAATCTGAATAATACGAGCAAGCACTCACACTAGCCAATGATGGAGGCCGTTGCCTGTGGCCCCTGCTGGATGACCTTGTGGAATGTCTCATAATCCGTGTTGCAAGTGGACAGGAACAAACTTGACCCCCTGGAAAGGGCTCTAAGGTGTGGGTGCTGAGGCTGCCCTGTCATTTGGAGCTGACCCAAGGCCTAATTGGTCTTGAGAGGTGGTTTTAATGTCCGGAGACACCTTACAAGTGGGATCTGAGCCCAACTCAGGCTCACCCCCGCCCCACTCGGCTGGAGCTGTCTTCCAGGACAAAGTCTCGCAAGGCTCTGGCACAGCAAGGATGGGCAAACAGAAGTCACGTCTAGGAGCAAAGAGTAGCGTAGTCTTGTGCCTTTTTTTTAAAGTTGTGGGGTCGAGTACCTCCCACGGTTTTTGATCTGTCTCTCATTGAGGCTTTTAGAAGTGTGCTTGAGTTTCAGAGGAAATTTTGTGTGGACCAGGTCAGTGGGAAATCTGTGTCTTCTTCAGGTCTATCCCGACTGTTAGCTATCCTGAACCCCACCCCTGGCATGGGGGTGACCTCCACTTCAGGACCCCGAGGGTCCTTGGGGTGGCGTGGCCTTGGAAATGCAGCTTTTAAGAACAGGACTTCCTTCAAGACCATAATGAAAGAACCAAATAAGGTTAAATCACCAGGATTGTTGTTAGAAGCCTCCTTGTCAAGGAAGAAATGAACACAGGATGCCCAGCATGGACGGTACAGTGCTTCTCTCTGCTTGCTGTGAACTGCTGCCTCACGCTTTCGGTCACAAGTAAAAAGAACCCAGGAATTCAGCAGCATGTGTGCAGCTTAACGACCTTCCTTTTGTTACTAAGTTATTTTTCCAAAAGAACAGCAAAATATCCTTGATTTTGAAAATTGAACTTTTCAAGTGCCACTGAAATTCAACAGCGAGTCAAACATCAGTGCCCAGTTGGTGACCCTACAAACATTTTAACCTGTATCGGTAAAAGATGTACTTTTATTTTTTTAAAAGAACAATAAAATCAAGAGAAACAAACAAACAAAAAAATTTCAGCCAGCTTGGAGACCAGCTCCAACATATGCTACCCGTGTGACTCTGGGCAAGTCACTTAACTTTTCTCTGAGCCTCACCTGCTTTGTTTGTAGAATGGGGGTGGATTCTCCTTTCCTCGAAGGGTACGGTGAGGATGATGATGATATAAGATATGCATCACATAAGGTACACAGCGTAGTGGCTGGCACATGGACAGCCCTCCACAGACAAGATTTGAACGCAGGTCTGCTACTATTATGGCTAATCGTAACGACATGGTAGGTGGCTTTCCGTTGGTCACACAAGCACTGAATATTCCTCAAATGTAAGCTATTTCCATACAAGAGTTTCATCCATACTCATTTCCCCTTTGTCTGCCATCTGCCAGCATTCTCCAGCACCTCAAAACTGACTGGTCAGTCTAACCTATGAATTTCTAGGGGTTGCAACCGCTTCCTCTACCTTTCTGCATTCAGGAGGTTTTTTTTTCCCTCTTTCTCAAAAGGAGCAAAAATACAAAAATAAGTTGTATGTGTAGAAAACATATTTCGGCGTGTATGCCCAGCTTACAAGGTAAAACCTCCCCTCTGCTTTCTGTTTTTTATTTTTGATTCATTTCAGATGCACAATGCAACGTAATAGACATTTAAACCCTCATAAAGTGATAACCCACTCCCCGAGCTACTACCCCTTTGACATCCTATATAGCTGTTACAATACTATCGACTATCTTCCCTATGTTGTACTCCACATCCAGTGACTATATATAGCTATATATTTAGTTATAGTTGACATTCAATACTATTCTACTTCAGCTCTTCAGGTACACAGTGCATTGGTCAGGTATCTACACAGTCTATGCCGTGATCCCCTTTGAGTACAGAGACCCCACAGACAGGGCTGAGCTCCCGGGACTCTGATTGTAAAAAACATCCCTGCCTTCACCCCAGCCACCATGGTGGGACTAAGGTTGACACCTGACCCAAGTAAGCCAATCAGGTGCTTTCTCCAGAGGTTTCAGAAACAAGACAAAGGGATTTTGGCTAAGTTGGGCTGTTCCCTTCAACAGCAGTGTTGTGGACTTAGAAGCTATGGGATGGTGTCTTTCTCTACATGGATGGAGAAGCATTGAGCACCCATCTGTAGACAGAGACACAGAAAGAGAACTGTGAATTGCATGTTCCAGGAAAACAGGATTACAAGGGTGAGGGATGGGAGTCTGAGAAAGGCAGTAAGCAACTGCCCTGGTCCCAGCACTCCTGCCTTTGGTGGTAGATTGCAAAACTGGCCACAGATTTTTTCCCCTCCCAGCAAGAAGGAAGTTAATTTCCCCACCCCTTGAATCTGGGCTGGCCATGTAACTTGCTTTGGCCAATAGAATGTGGCAGAAGTGATGATGTGCCAATCCTTAACCTTGGCCCAATTCTTAAACCTTGACCCATTGCCCCTTCTGCTCTCATTCTTGGAATCCTGTCTCTGTCATGTGAACAAGCTTGGGTCGGCCTGCTAGAGAATGAGATGGTGTGGAGAGGCCAGTCGTCTCAGTTGAGGCTGTCCTAGTCCAAACAGCCCCTAGGCAGCCTGCTAACTGACCATGATGCATGAGTGAGCCCAGCAGAGACCAGAAGAACAGCCCAGCTGAGCCTAGCCCAAATTGATAACCCACAGAATTGGAAGCTAAGTAAATGCCTGTTTCCAGCCATTAAGTTTTTTTGGTATTTTTTTTGGGGGGGTAGTTTGTTACACAGTAAGTGCTAACTGATACGCCCTTGGATTCCTGTAAATTTTCCTGGATCCTTATATTACATTCTTCCTTTTATTTTTTATTGAGCCACCTTAGTGAATTTCTTTTGCTTACAGCCCATGAGTTTTATGAAATATACTCTGCTAATTTAGGTGGCTTCCAGAAGTTTGATAAGATGGCCATATGGAGTGTTGGCAGCTGGTGAGAGGACAGAAAAGCAGGGACTTTTCCCCGGGGCGCTCAACAAGATGAGGACATCCCACAGATCAGGAAGCCAGGAGGAAGGACGTCTTATTTGGAACCCCAGGAACTTCATCATGGCCCCAGGGTTCTGTTTCTGCTCTTCCTGGCATCATTTCTTAGGCTGACAGACAGGTTTCCACACTTCAGCTTCATATCTGTATTCTCCGCCTGTCAGTCCAACAATGGAAGAGAGAGAAATTAGTAATCATAATAATATAATAATACATGTGGTGGACATGTGTTGAAGGCTTATCATGTGCCAGGCACTATTTACCATGCTTTCCTCCCGCCATCTTCTGTAATCTTTGAGGAAAGTATTACCATCATCTCTGTTTTACAAATGGGGCACAGAGTGGTTAAAGGACTCACTCAAAGTCCAGCAAGCTAGCTTATGGCAGAACTGGGATGAACCTAAGTAGTCTCATTTCGGGGTCTATGGCCTTAACTGCAAGCAAGGATCTCTATTGGCCATGGGTGGATGTGGTAGACATGTGAGCGGCTCCCCAAAGCCCACACCCTTCTTTTCTGAGGACTACCCCTCCCCACTGGGGGGGGGGGTCGAGACAGTCATGTTTGTCCCCATGACCTCATCTCCAAGGCCGAAGCTGATTGGATGAGGCTGGTTACTTCTGGCAGATGTCAGCATTGATCTGTTTGTTGTCTGAAACTAAATGGGTCTTGGCTGAGGTGATGGGGAGGACAGGAGGTGACCCCTCCTGCCCGCTTGTGGAAACAGGTCTTGGTGAAGATTTTCATGCCAGCCTGGGTTTTCATCCTTCCCCTGTAAGACCGTGGCTTTGGAATTGGATCTGGGTTTGGTTCAGCTGTGTGTCCTTGGGCAAGTTGATGAGTTTCTCTGAGCTTTGGTTCTACTCATTTGGAAAATAACAACAAGTATAGGACCCATCCCTGAGAGTTGTTATTATTTGAAGGCTCCTGGCACTTACTGAGGGCCCAGGGAATGCCACTGTGATGAAAGTGATGTCCCTAGAAGTTTCCACAGGGGACTCAGGGACTGGAGACCTGGCTCCACTCCCTCCTAGCTGGTCCCCAAGGCCTTTCTAAGCCATTTCAACTTGCAGATTTCTCTTCCTCAGTTCATAAGCTATGAAGGCTCGAAGGCTCGTATTATTATTGGTGGAAAAAGAGGCAGTGTAGGTTAAGGGATAGAACTAGGAGTGAGGCAGGGTTCTGGGTTCGAATCCCTCCTCTCCAGCTGTGGGATCTGGAGCCAGTCACTTCTCTCTGAACCTTAGTTTCCTCTTTGACAAAAATGAGATCTTCACCCCTACCCCATCCTCCAGCCTTGTAGAGAGCTCTTGTGGAGATTAAGTAGAATAGTGTTTAGCAAGCACATAAAAGGCGCTCAATATGTGGTAAGATATTATAGTATTATAATAATGGCTAACACATCTTGGATTAAAATATAAGTCAGGTGTTAGTCTGATCTCATCCTGCTTCTGCTCTAAATCCACATGGACCCCATCTCACTCAGAACAAAAGCCCCATAAGACCTTACACTGTCTGGCACCCCACTCCCTTCCCTCTCTGATCTCATGTCCTACTTTTCTTCCCATTCCTCATTGCCACTCCACCCACACTGGCCTCCTTGTTATTCCTTGAACATGCCAGGCAAGCCCTACCTCCAGGCGTTTGCACTTGCTGTTCTCTCGGCCGGGTGTGCCCTTCCCCCACATACCCACTGGCTCCGTCCCTCCTTTTCTTTGCTCAATGTTTTTGCTGAAATGTAACGTTCTCAAGGAGGCCTTTGCTGAGTAAGTTAAATTGTGCCCCATCCCACACCATCTATCCCCCTTCCAGCCTTACTCCTTTCCTTAGCACTCATCATCATCCAACATACTATTTACATTTCATTGGGTCATCATGTGATTATTGCTATCTCCCACTAGGATGCACGTTCATGAGGGCAGAGACTTTCTGCGGTTAATTCCCTCGGTATCCCCAGCACCTGGTACATAGTGAGCACTAAACAAATATGTGTCGAAGGATTGAGTATGGCACTTAGCGCAGCCCAGGCACTCAATCAATTCTCACGACAGCCCTGGGAAGTAGGCACTGTGATTATCACTCCCATTTTTCAGGTGACTAAGCTGAGGCACAGAGAGGGGAAGTGACTTGCCCATGGCCTCACTTTGGGTGAAGTAACAGAGCTGGGATTTGCACCCAGGCAGACCAGCTCCAGAACCCGCTTCTGTCTCCTTGTTCCCCCGAGGTCACTGTGTGAACGGACAAGGTGGATGGGCACATCAGGGGTCAATGCCATCTCCTTTGAATGAGCCTAAAGCTCCTCGGAAGGAGGCTGTTGGTTTGGCTTCTGTCTTGCTGCAGAGCGAGCTCTGTGCCTCATGGGGGCTGAGAGGACATCAGTCGGTTGACGGGGATGAGGGACAGAAGGTACCTTTGGCTCTGGAGGATGGTGAAGCCCATGCCTCCGGTCAGTATCACGACTCCTGCCATTCCGGACACAATAAGGGCGATGGCAGATCCTCCTGAAACGGGGAGAACGGCGTCCGGCATGATGGGCTCAGCTTTTGTAGGATCCACGTTGACTTCTGGGGACCAAGAAGGGGTAAGATTGGAGGAGCCACCCTCCCTCTACACCCCTTACTCACACCATTCCACCTCCTGCTTGTCTCTTCAGTCCATCCCCTCCTCCCCGTCCTTTGGGTCTCCGACCTGGCCTCCCTGGTCCCCTGCCCCACCCATCTCCCCACCACAAGGAAGTCAGAGGGGTTTCTCTAAAGCTCAAACTTGATTCTGTTCCTCCTCTGCTCAGAACCTTGCCGAGGCTCCCCAGAAGCTGAGGAGGAAGCATCCTTCACCTTGGCCTTTGAGGCCTTGCCACCTGGCCAGCCTCATCTCTTTTCACCCCACCTTTATAACCCAGCCCCAATGGACTCTGCGTTTTCTAAGTTCACCTCTCTTTCTCCTACTTCCAGGGCTTTGTTTGTGCCCCTGGAATGCCTTTTTGCCATTGTATCCCCCTTGGCCTGGATAATTTCTAGGTATCCTAGTACTAACTCAGATGTCCTCTCCTCCAGGAAGCCCTCCCTGACCCCCATGCTGGGTCAGGCACCCCCCTTGAGTCCCACAGCCCTCTGGGCTTTCTCACCTCAGCCTACCCACTCTAGTCATTGCTGTTTGTGGACAGATCTGTCCCCCCACTAGACTGGAAGTCCTGTGGGGGCAATGCCAGGGCTGTCTTCCTCACCAGAGTGTCCCCGGCACCACCTAGCATGAGCCAGTCACATAGTAGGTGCTTAATAAGCATTTCCTGAATGATTGATGACTGAATAAAGGGGGCCTTGGAAGTATAGTCATTCCCAATGAATGTATCTGTCACCAGGTGCTACACAATTAAAACTTTTTTTCTCCCAGTGAATTACCCCAACACCAAATCCTGAAGGTCGCACCCAGAGAGGAGGCAGGTCTCTGAGACCCAGCCTAGCCAGGCTTTCCATCACCCCTGCCTTTGCCACACTCCGGATGTTTGCTCAGCATTCTCTACTGTCCCCCTGATAGTTCACCCTGGATTATCAGGGTGATCCCAATGAAAGGCCAGCTCCTCCATGTCCTTCTAGCCCACTCCAAGCCACTTGTCCTCCATGAATAAAAACAGGAAACATTATATTTATGACAATTGCTGCTATTTAAAGCACCTGCTGCTAACAGGTACTCTGTTGGCCTCATACATGCATTATTTCGGTGCCTTATAACAATCCTGCCTTATGACAATAATACACAACCACCCTGTTATACACAGGAGACCACTGAGGGAAAGTCACGTGTCCTAAGAAAAGGGAAGTCACATGTCCTAAATCACCTGGCCAGGAAAGTACAGAGGCAGGAATTGAAACTAGCTACCACTGGCTCCCAAACCATTTTTCTTATCCCAACAACTGCCTGTTTTTGTTATTCCTGCCTGGGGCTCCATGCACACTACGGCCTATGGTAATCATCACAAAATGAATAATAATATCCATAATGTGAATTGTAACAATGATACTAGCTCATGTCCATTGAGCACTCATTCATGTTCAATAGTGCGAGGCACTCTCACGTCAAGCGGTTCACCTGCTTATCTCATCGAATGCTCACTATGGCACTTTGGGTGGGCACTATTATTAATATTTTCCCCATTTTACAGACAAGGAAACTGAGGCACAGGGGAGTCAAAGTACTTGTCCAAAGTCACACACCCAGGAAGTGGTGGAGCCAGAATTCAAATTCCAAAGCCTGTGCTCGGAACCACTCATGATCTCATCACACGCATTTTTTCACAGGTGTGTGCTGAGGCTCAGAGAGGCGCAGGGGCTTCCCAAGTTCACACGGCCAGCAAATGGTTGGAGCCGGGACCCAGGCAGCCGGCTCCAAATCTTGAGCTGAGCCTCCATTAGAGTTCATCTCTTTGAGCCGCAACGTCTCATCTGCAAAATGGGCTAATAATGCCCACTCTGCCAGGTGGATGGAAGAATAAGATGACATCTTGGTTATAAAGAGTCTCACGGGGGGACTGCTCATAGAAAGTGTGATTGAACCAGGAAAGCTGGCCACTGGCCAATTAGGGTACAGGGGTCTGGGGTGGGGGTGGTGACTCACGCGGCAGCAGGATGGTCACAGGGTCGGAGGAATATTCTCCCTGGCTGTTCTTGGCCACGCATGCATAGGTGCCCAGGTCCTTCCAGGACAATTTCCGGATGATCAGGTACTCCCCGGTCTCGCAAGGCTTCCCATTGAAGGTCCAGTATAGTATGGGTTTGAGGCTGATTGCACTCAGACACGTCATGATCACTGAGTAGTTGAGATCACTCTGGATGACACCCTGAATATGACTCGGGAATGTCAGCAGCAGAACCAGGTCAGAGCTGGCTGTGTGAACAAGGGAGCAAGACCATACGCATGGAGACCACTCAGAGAGGCTGAGCACTTCTGCCCACCACAGAGGCACTCATTCATTCATTCATTCACCAACAAATATGTTTGGAGTGCCTGTCCTGTTCTGGGTGCTGCTTCAGACACCCCAGCCCTTCACTCTCACCACTTCCAACTGCCAGCTCTGCATCTGTTGCTTGAGGGCTTTTGCTGGCTGCCAGAGTCCCTCTGCCCAGGCAGGCAGCAGGCCAGCATGCTGGGCAATGGACACATGGGGGGTGACCGTCTACAATGACTGACGTAGGAGGCATATAAATACCCCAGCTCCCCTGCCTCAGCTGGACAAGGATCAGGCCAAAGATCTGGGAGTAGTTGGATTCTAGATTATTATTATTATTTTTTTAAATTTTATTGGGGAACAGCTATGGTCATTGGTTACACATTGCTTTCATGCTACAGTAGGATAGTTGACTCTTTTAGGGAAGCTGCAGCTCACAGTGGCCCATGCGGGGATCAAACCAGCAACTGTGGTGTTATCAGCACCACACGCTAACCAACTGAGCTAACTGGTCACCCAGGATTCTGGATTATTATTATTATTATTATTATTATTATTATTATTTTTAAGATTTTTATTGGGTAATTGGGGGGATGGGAACAGTGATGGGGAATTGGGGGAAGGGGAACAGACAAGTTGATGTCCTTTTGTTCTTCAG